AGAAATGAAAAGAGAGTGCTGAAAGAAATAAAAAAAAGACGTGTGAAATATTTTAGCCATATTAAAAGACAACACTTTTATAAACCCCAAAGTGGATGGAGAAGCTGAAGGCAAGTAAGCAACAGACAGCAGTATTAGTGAAAGGATAACATTAGGAGAGATAGATGAACAGCAGCCATGTGAGAATGTACATCCAGGGAAAAGATGGCATGCTAAAGATCAATTATAGACAGTCTTTATTGTGGAGTCGGCTCTGTGGCTAAGTCGATGCGAATGCTTCGTAATGCCGGGGTGCCTGCTTCGATCCCAGCTGCGGGCCATGTGTCTTGCGTTGGTTTCTACAGTGGTATCAGGGGGCCGACCTTCCAGAGAGCAATGGCAAACTACTGGACGTAAATTTGCCTAGAGAAACTACACTACAGCCAGGGGCTACTGGGGTTGGTTCTGCAACGTCCTGTAAAAGATACGCAACTAACCTTTATTGTGGAGACAATCCCAGATTGATTGATTAAAAATCACAAACAGCTAACAATTACTTGGGTTGTTTTTTTAAAGCCCAGCAGAGGATTTGTAGCTAACTTTATAAGTACATGTTCAAAGCTGATGGTTATGTTGCGAAATGACTGACATCTGTACAGACTACAAACAATCATTTCTGAAATGTCTGTTCTCATTTTTTGACTGACTTACTTTCATATTAGTTCTTTTTAAGTTGGTTGATTATTATTGTGAATAATTGTATGGATTTGATTTGATTTGGTTTGATTCGTGAACCGACATCACAGCACTCAGGGCATTCCCATAAGCGCTCCGTCCCCATCTTCAGCAGCCAGCAAAGAGTTCGGATACTAATGGTGCCAGTAACGTTCTGATTAAACGTCTATCTTGCCTTTCCTCTGAGCCTCTCATCACTCCCCTTTTGCATCAGTCTCACCAGACTGGTGATCCATCTGCTCCTCTGAACTGTACATGCTCTCCAACAAGGGTTATGTTATGTTATAGTGGCTAGATGCTTGACTGTCAGTCTGAAGGTCTTGAGTTTGATCTGCACAGGGATGGATTTTTTAATAATTAACCTCAGTTCCTAGATCAACCTAGCCTAAAACAATACTAAGTAAAATACTAAGAAGTAAAGACAGCTGATGTAATATTAACATCACCTACCGAGTGCCTAATGGACTGTACGAGCATCCTATACACAGTGAGCCACTGACTTTGAAAAAAAATTTTCCTTTTACTTTATGTTTACTTTCTGTTGACAGTGATGAGAGGCAGACTTGCCAGAAAGAAATATCTGGCTATGCAGGCCAAGAGACACCAGGCAGCAGTCTGCATCCAGGCCAGGGTGCGGGGTTTCTTGTGCCGCCGCCGCTACCAACGGCTCAAATTGTCGAAGCAACAGGAACAAGAAGGGAAACAGTTGAAACTACAAGATGCAAGTGCTAGGAAGATACAGAGAGGTTAGTAGAACTGATAAATCATTGACACTTTACCGCTTTGCAGAATCATCATCATCATCATCATTATCAGTATACAGATTAACTCTTTAAGTCCCAAAGGAATGTGTAGTATCTGCCCAAATGGTACATTAGCCTCAGTGAAAAAAAGCATGAGCTTGTTTCTTACAAACACAAAAGACAAAGCAAATCTAGCCAGGTATCTTTAGTATGCTGCAACCAAAATGTTAAAGATACAGTTGACCACTATGTATTGGGCGATACTCATGGACAATAGCTGGTCACACATGTTGCATTGCTTGTGATTTAAAGAGTTAAAACTGTCCAAAAGCAGTTTCTCGGGAGTGGGGGGAGGGACAGAGACTTCCTAGCGTAAACAAACTCAAAGGGAAAGAATAGACAGGTTTTCAGGCTTCGGACAGAACAAACACGTCAGTGTAAATAAACCTTTGTAATCATCTCAGAAGATAGAAGATAAAATGGTTTGGCCATGTAACAGGATAGGCAACAGACACTGCACAGCATAGTGCAGTGTTATACAGATACAGTGGTAATAGTGTTAGATGTACACCACACAGAATATGGACCGTAGAAATATCGGAGACAGTGAAAAGTACTATATACAAAGTGAACAGAAAGGTCCATTCCAGAGATCTTTTCCTGCGCTGACTCTTTGAAGCATTTCTGGAGTAGAGAAAAAGAAGAATCATCTTCTGAGTCCTTATTATATACTAGCTAAAAACACTTTATATAATTTTTCTAAATGTACAGTATATATCATAAATTCATCTTATAATCTCAGGCTACAGAATTTACAAGAAACTAACGTTAAAATAATTTTTTCCCGTCTACAGAATCTCACAACCATCATCGTTATTCCGTAACACTGTGTGTCTTTGGGTCACCAGTTTCTGTTGACTGTTGATTGTCAGATTTAATGGGTTTCATAGCTGCATGCATAAGGCCTGTCCAGTCCATCAAGCTCTGTAACCAGGTCTATCTTAGTCTGCTTCTTCTCCTCTTTCCCTCTACTGAGCTCTGTAGTATTGTTTTTGCGAGGTTGTTAGATCTTATTACATGTCGTACTATTGCATTTTCCATCTCTTCACTGTAGTTAGAAAATGTTGTGCTTTATTTATATCCTACCCCCAGATGGCGTCGCAGGACAGTCCAACATTTTAGAGGGTGGTAAGACTGGGTTTCCCAACTTTCTAATGCTTTTAACGACCCCAAAACATCTAGAAACAAAACATCCCACGACTGTATGCAGCTTTGGTCCCACGACTGCATTCAGCATATCTACCACCCCCTGAAATATTAGACTGTCCCGTGACCTGTGGATATCCCCTGTTTGGAGTAGGATATAAATAAAGCACCGAAAATGTTTACAGTAGCTAGTGTATCAAGTAATCATTTGGTGAACTTCATCATTTGTAATGTGGTCTCTATACAATATGCCAAGATTTTAAAAGAAAAGTTCTAATTTCCAGTGCTTATATATTTTTTTTCATTTTAGCTGTTAAGGTCTATGTTTCACAGCCATATGGATATGTACTAATTACAAGTGCTCTGAGCAGTCATAGCTTGGTTTTACATGAAATGTTTTTTTGCATCTCCATAATACTTGCTGTCTGGCAAGGACTGGGTGTTGTCTGGCGATCCTTGATAAAATATACCTGCTAAATCAATCAGCTTTAATTCATCTCTTTAGTCTGAGATTATACTAGCAAAATTAACTTTCTTGTCCTTGTAGTTTACAGAATGTACCGCCTCAAAAAGAGAACAAATGCCAGGTTGAATAGGCAAAAGTTGGAGGGGGTATCAGCCACAAAGATACAAGCCTACTTTCGCATGTGGAGACAGCGAACAGTTTACAAGCAAATGTTAGCAGCCAGGAAGAAACCGGAATCAGAAATTATCATTTCTGTGCGCCAGGTAGGTCATTGTTTTTGAAACAACAACTGACACTTGCTGTTTGTATGTTGTTTATTTATTCATTTTTGAGATGAGGTTGATTTTGTAAAAGTGGGAGATGGGGCGAGTATGGGGGTGGGGGGGGGGGGGGCGGTTAACCATATCTCTTGTGCTTTTGACTTGTTCACTTTGAATTGAAGTTGAGTTTGTAACAGAGAGCAATAACTTTTTATTTAAATGGTGTATTCTAAGTTGAAGTTTAGTTTGTTGCAGGGGACACTAGCTCTCTTGTAATTTTAGTTTAGTTGACTTTGGTTTGAAACTAAGTGAACTAATGCTGAGTTTAGACTGTACTAAGTAAACCTACATAAGTCGTGTAAACTGCATATGCAGAAAATGGCGGGTGGTTGGTTGCCACAGAATTGGTGGTGTGCCTTGTCCAGTAATGTCTGTGCACCTGCTAGTTTGTTGTGACTGCTGCTTTCATCAGTTATGAATTGTAACACTGGTGACAAACTGTTGGGGTTGGCACCTCTGGTGGCTGCCTTATGCTTTTAATGCATGTGTTGGTTGTTAGATTTAGCCATGACTGCTGTCTGTTTTCACATTGGACAATGATGGGAATTTTGTGTGGTTTTCACTGGCACAAGAATAAATCAGTTAAGATTGTCAGAAGAGGTTAGAACCCTGACTAATAGCCTGATAGTCTTTCATATTTTTACAGCTGAAGCCTTATGCAAGTAGGGGCGGCCTAAAAATTCTGAAAATTGTTTGGTACCAATTTTTTTAAGGCAGGGTTGGCTGTACTAGTGACCCCAGAGCAATACTGGCAACCCCAGAGCCACACTAGCAACCACAGAGCCACATTAGCCATCACCGAGTCATACTGGCCAGGTGTAATAAGGTTGTCTGTGCTATGGATTGAACTCCCCTCCCCCCACTGTCTTGGCTGACAAGCACTGTCATTTATGTCTTTCATTCTTGACATTCTTGAATCACTTCCAGACACACTGCTATTCTGATCTGCAGCATCCTTTGTTCCAAACGTATTGGTACCTTTCCTTTGGAGTAAGCAGGGCAGGCAGAGAGAGGAATCATGCTGCATGAGCAACACATGATCTGTACAATACTGCCAAAGCTATATGATATGGAGAGGAGGAACGTCACCCCTGGCCTAAATTGGCTGTGATTGTCATGCCTGTTTGTGACACAGTACAACAGTCAACAGTAGTTCAAAAGTTACAAATTTGCCTCAGTACTAGTTGTAACCTTTGACTGTCAGACAAGCATTCTGCAAGGCTCCCATACCTCCAATGATTCAGTTCTATATTCTTTGCTATTTTGTATACAGTATCTGTTTGTGTGTGTTTTTTGTGTGTGTGGTTCTTATTGTATGTTTTTAAAGTTCACAAAATTATTATATTAAATATTTTCACAGGTTGAAAGCTACAATAATAACAGTACTGATGGGCAGATGCGTGCACCAGGCCAGGCACAGGAAGATGGACCGATATATGGTGATGCACAGAAGCATGCTGGAGGGCAGATACAAAGTGAAAGGCATGGTAGCGAACAAAATCTTGATAATGGGCATGTGTATGATGATGATGGGCAGATAAATGGTCATGATGATATGATGCAACAGGAAGTTGACAGACGTGGTGGTGATGGTGAGGAGCGTGGTGGAAGGCAGATACATAGAGAAGGGCATATGCATGATGGTGATGGGCAGATAAATGGGGATGATGATATACAGCATGATGTTGGCAAACATGGTGGTGATAATGAGAAGCATTCTGGAGGGCATATGCATGATGGTCATGGGCAGATAAATGGTGATGACAAGGTTGATGGTGATGGAGGCGTACCTGGTCGTGGGAAGATGCAAGGAATTGGGCTGAAGAATGCTGTGATGCAGAAAATTCCTGGTGGAGGCATGTTTGGAGATGGACAAGCAGCTGATGACGATCGCCAGACACGTGGCAATGAGCAGGTAGGAAGCGGCGATAGGCAACTACATAATGATGAACAGTCACAAAGAGGTGGGCCGGGACACGCTAATAAGCAAAGTCATACTAAAGCCCAGATACAAGCAGGTGGGCTTAAAAGTGCTATGAGACAAATAATTCCTGACGCCCCTGTGTATGACGGGCAGGCACAAGGTGGTGGAGACGAGCAAGGAAGCAGGTCTAACCAGCAACCCAAGGCATCGGGTGCAGTGTCTGCTTTCAATGATAGCATCAAGAAGAAGGCAGCCAAGTCTGCTAGTGATTCTCCAAGCAAAAAGGTATGTATTTTCTGTTTGTATGGTTAAGTGTGTGGATTGTGAGGTATATGTTCAAGCTCAGTGATGTGTGGATGGTTGAATGGATATTTGGTGTGGTATATGGTCAGGTGCATTGATGTTTGGGTGGGTGGAGAGTTGGTTGGTTGAGTGGATGGTGTGGTATATGGTCAGGTGCATTGATGTTTGGGTGGGTGGAGAGTCAGTTGGTTGGTTGGTTGGATGGATGGTGTGGTATATGGTCAGGTGCATTGATGTTTGGGTTTGGGTGGAGAGTTGGTTGGTTGGGTGGATGGTGTGGTATATGGTCAGGTGCATTGATGTATGGGTGGGTGGAGAGTTGGTTGGTTGGTTGGGTGGATGGTGTGATATATGGTCAGGTGCATTGATGTTTGGGTGGGTGGAGAGTTGGTTGGTTGGGTGGATGGTGTGGTATATGGTCAAGTGCATTGATGTTTGGGTGGATGGAGAGTTGGTTGGTTGGGTGGATGGTGTGGTATATGGTCAAGTGCATTGATGTTTGGGTGGATGGATGGATAGTTGGTTGGTTGGATGGTTTAATGGATGGTTGGTATGGGATATGGTCAGGATTAATGGATTGTGTGTTATATTGTCATATACACTAATATTTGGATGGATGGATTGTGTGATATCTGTGCCAGAGATGATTGAAAGTACACGAGACAGAAGGTTGTGGATGGACATGACTACCAACGCCACACGGCATGGACTCTAAGAAGAAGAAAGAAATATTTTTTGTTGTTGCTGTGCCTGCGACGTGTTGTTGCTGCACTGAAATAGCTGGTACCCAGTTATGTTTAGAACGATCTGTCCTTTTGCAGGTGCCATACTGGCTTTTGTGATTGACCTTTTGCACCAGCAGTGAGCTGCAGTTCATATGTGGAACCATTAGTGTTGGCACATCTGACAGCTGCCTTATGTATTTATTTTGAGTGTGCAAGCTTCAAGATATTTCTGAGATTTACAAGTTTTTTCACTAGATTTTATATGGGTCAGTTTCTCATGTGTGTTTCCGGGCACTTTTGTCGGGGGAGGGGGGGGGGGGATAGACTCATTGTCTCCCTAACAAGCATATAGTAAGAGTGGAATAATTAGCGGTTACCTTTGAATTCAGAGTGTATCTGCCTTGGAGGCAAAAAAGCCAACAGTCTGCATACAAATGCCAGATCTGTAAAACATGTGTGCATGCAAAACTCAAGTTTTGGAACAAGACTAAAGTCCAGAAGTGGATGAACAACCAGAACTTTTTGCTGGAGTGAACGTGACAAAGAAGTAGAAAAAGAAATGGGACAGGAAAGGACAATTTTTGTGATTTCCACTGGCACTGGAGCAGAGCAGCTTTGGGGCAACCTGTCTTTGTTGGTGTTGGAACCTTGACTGCATCTAAACGATGTTGTATTGTTCACTTGATCCTAGAGAGATCCAACATTTACTTATTGTTAAGTAGCTAACCACCTAGAGAACCACTTTATAAGCCTGCTAATTATTCTGTTTCTGTGAAGACTAATCCAGTCAGTAAATGGCCAAAGAAGTTGCATTGTGAAAATATCATAGGTCTGCTCCAAAAAGGCACAATGCCGTTTCATCCTTAAAAAAATATATTAGATGTGGGAGGAAGAAGAAGACTTGTAATTTCATGTCTACCTATTCATTACAAGCAAACAATGACTTATAATTTTCATATAATTGTATAATATTGAGTCATATCTAAGACATTGCTTTGTCATGTGACCAGGTTTGGGAGAGAGTGTCCCAGCAGGCAGTGGGAGATACTCGGGTTGAACAAATGAAAAAGATGCACACAGAGAAGACAGTCATGTCAGATGAAGATGCCAGCTACTATGACAGTGTGAGTTTATCAGTGTTGTTTTTCTTTGTTCTTTGATAGGATGCCATTATGCCTTCTGAGTTATTTAACACACTGTGAACAGGCTTTTACCGAAATGGCAGAAGCTTTGACAGTTAAAACGAATAATTCCACTTTGTGCAGATGAAAGGAGCATGTAGTAAATTTGAAACTTCTGCTGCGGCTAATTCCTAATTACAGTGTAAGTACAGCTAGAGACAGTGTAATAATTTGTGTATTTCAGTGGAAAGGATGAATTATTTATGTGCAATTTATATGTTGATGTATAATGTGTAGTAAAGCACCTGACGAGAAACAGCAGAATATGCCTGGCAGTAAATTGTGCAGTTTATTGTTTATATGTGAGTAAAGTAAAAGTCCCTTTTCCACGCCTTTAGGCATATAGGGCTAGATCTATATTTTTTTAGACCAATCAGCACAAGATGGGTGATGAGGTCAGCATTAGGCTGGCCGCCCTTATTTACCCGCTGGGTCGACCTTGGAGTCAAAGTCATTTTTGAAAAAGTCCAGCTCCGCCAGGTAGCGAACCCATGACCTTCCAATCCGCACGAAGCGTCTAGCCACTACGCTATGGCAACTCCCATTGTTTTTATGTATATTATTTAATTTCCTTAATTCTGTTGCTTGTTTCTTTATTTTTTCTTTTCTTATGTTAATTCAGATTGTCATCTTACTGTCAGTCTGTGAGGAATGTGTGTCGCAGATGAAATAGTGCCTTTCTTCTGTAATTTTCTTTTTTACAGATGACAAAGTGACTTCTTTATGTGTGTATTTCTGTTACAGCTTTTAAAGTGCCCGCTTTCTGTATTTAAATTTATTTTTTTTATCAGATGCAAAATTACTGCATTCTGTCTAACATTTTATTACATATGAAAGATTGTCCCTTTTCAAACCAGTCTTTCCCAGCTATCTTTAAATGTTGCACAACTCATTCACATCAACTTTTATATGTCAGACCACTCATTCCTGTCTTCTACCTTTTATGTCACACCAATCTCTTCACATAAACATCACAACTTCACACCATGTCATACCTCTCCATTCTCATCACATAATCAGCACAACATTACACCGTGTCACACCACTTTTATCATAAAATCTTCACATATTTACACCATGTCACACTACTCTCACCACATAATCCTCATAGCTTTACACCGTGTCACACCACTTTCATCACAAAATCTTCTCATATTTACACCGTGTCACACCACTTTCATCACAAAATCTTCTCATATTTACCCCCTGTCACACTACTCTCATCATATAATCCTCACAACTTTACACCCTGTCACACCACTTTCATCATATAATCTTCACAACTTTATAGCCTCTCACACCACTCTCACCACATAATCCTCACAACTTTACAGCCACTCACACCACTCTCACCACATAATCCTCACAACTTTACAGCCATTCACACCACTCTCACCACATAATCCTCACAACGTTACACCATGTCACACCACTCTCGTGACATAATCTTTACATCTTTACACCATGTCACACCACTCTCATAATATAATCCTAACAACTTTTCACCCTGTCACACCACTCTCATCACATAATCCCCACAACTTTACACCCTGTCACGCCACTCCACTCTCATCACATAATCTTCACAACTTTCCCCATTCTGAGACACTACCCACAAAACCCTACAGCCAGTCTCATGGAGCAGTCAATATGTCAATAACTGCCATGACATCTGCAGTACCCTCAGCCTATCTTATCTAGAACCTCACACGTGGCCAGTTGGCATTCTCCACACTCTGTTGTCTGACAGTTACTGGGCGTGGCATTTTAACTAGTATAGTGTGTGTGATCTGGCAAGCTGTTTTTATGTAAAATCATTTGCCTGTGACTTGACAGCTATGGACTAGAAGTTTTAGTGTGATTTTTTTTTATTTACCTTAGAGGGCTTGACTACTTTTGTTTCACAGTAAATTTCTTTAACATTTATTTTATTTTTTTTTTTTTTTTTAGTATCTAGCTAGTGAGCATCTGAGGTTGTGTAGTAAACTCTTTTAGTACTATATGGTTTTATTAGAGATGTGTAACAAGTACTTAGCCCCAAGGAATAGAGCATAAATCCATTTATTTTCCTTGGGGCAGCATATAACTTAGATCATAAAACATACTGTGTTGAATTTTAAAATAATGGATCAAGTTTATCATTGAAAAAAAAAAAAAAACATTAGAGTGACATCCTCTGGTGTTTGGGATACAGGGACAGTAAATTTTGTGGGAATTGTCTTTATCATAGTCCTATTACATTGTGTGTCGGTGGGTCACCAGTTACTGTTGACTTGTCTGATCAGTTTCCTCCTCCTGTGTCAGTCAGGTGCAATGGACTTGATGTTTGCATGTTTGTTCAGTCAGCCACATTCTGTATCCAGGTCATTCTAGTCTGTCTTTTCTCTTCTTTCCCTCTACTGACCCTTGTAGTATTGTTTTAGAGAGGCTGGTTAATCTTGATACATACATATCCATAAGATTGCATATTCCATCTTTCACTGTTGTTAAATGAGTTTTGCAGTTGCCATTGTGCTGAGTGATGATACAACAAACTTTGTATCCACTTATGACGTGGTCTCTGTTTGATATACCAAGAATTTTTCGATAAGATTTGAATTTTATGGGAAGGAAAAACAGAGAAAGGGAACGGGTCACCTATCTTTATTTTTCATGGCATAGCAAATTTGAAGACCTGTTACTTCACAGCCTTATGACAGTACCTGCTAGGGGACCACGTTAACTTTGTTTGATCACGTATGTGGCATTTTTGAAAGTATCAGTTTGTGCTGTAGCGCTTTATCAGTGTTTGTCATATATGTGTTGTGCCTCTTGATAGCATTAAAAACATGTTTTGCTGTTTAGAAGTGCACAGTTTAACAGAGGGAGGGGGTAGAGAGAGAGGGGGGGGGGAGAGAGAGAGAGAGAGAGAGAGAGAGAGAGAGAGAGAGAGAGAGAGAGAGAGAGAGAGAGAGAGAGAGAGAGAGAGAGAGAGAGAGAGAGAGAGAGAGAGAGAGAGCATGGTGTTTTGCTAAATTTATAAATATTGAGCATCTATAAAGTTGGATTTTAGTAAAGAATAAAAGAAACTCTGTGCTTTTGTTTTTCAAACTGTGATGACGATTCATAAGTATAGTAAAGTGATTAAAATTTATAAATTGTGACATTTGTTTAGAAGTATAGTAAAGTGATTAAAATTTATAAACTGTGACATCGGTTCAGAAGTATAGTAAAGTGATTACAATTGTTAAACTGTGACATCAGTTCAGAAGTATAACAACGTGAATTCACAGCTTCAGTTTGAAGCATCAAAAATATACAGACTATGAAGCCAGAGATTTCAACTAGCAATTGTGTAAGTGAACAAATGTTTGTAGCAGTATGCTTTCTGTCAGACTAGTTTACATGTTTTTACTCTTGCTTCTTTTTCTTGTTCTTCTTTTTATGATTACCTCACCTAACCGGCACGCCACAATATCGCCTCCCAAAGAGAGTATTTTATAGCGAGCTCCGGCAAGGGAAGAGGTCTCAGGGAGGACAGAAAAGGTGCTATAAGGACACTCTCAAGACTGCCCTCAATTCTTTTGGCATCAACACAGCGACTTGAGAGACTGCTGCACAAGACCGTTCTAGATGGCGTACATCCCTCAGGCATGGTGCATCGGCCTGCCAGGCAGTGGAGGTTGCATAGGCAGAGAAATTAAGGCAGACTAGAAAGAATCGTTTTGCTAATCCCACACTTACTGCGGCTTCCATCTGTTGTTTGCAATGCTCAAGAACTTTCCAGGCTCATATTGGACTAATCAGCCACCTTTGTACTCATAATCATTAATCATTACTACTTTGGATGAAAGTGGTCTTCATCCCTCATGATGGATGAACAACACATCCCTATTGTTTAACAGACCAATGAATTATCTATGAGAGTTTGTAATGCTGTCATTGTAAACCCCTTTCTGGTCTAGCATTGCTGACTTCAAGACCTCTTCAGAGATAGAGTTTGCTCATCGCTGTCCAAACTGGCTGGGATAATTATTTTGCTCTGTTATGTTTGCTATCCCATACAGTTTTCTGTTGGAAGTTTAAACCCCAACCTTCCAGTGGATTATTGTTGAGACCAAGGCCCACTATCTGTGGGTGAGGTAGAGGCTTGAGAAGAGAGGCTAAGAGACAAATGGCAGTGGCGTAGGCATTGGAAACGCACTATATAATGTTGAGATTCCAGGTTCCTTCCCTGCTGTAGGTGATTTGCCAGCAGGCCGCCTTTTGTTGGTTTTAAAAGTGATATTGAGAGTCGACTGTTCATAAAGCATTGGCAAACTACTGAATGTAAAGTAGCCTAGTAAAATCACAAACGGCCCCAAAAATGCTGGGGTTGGTTCTGCAATGTCCTATAAAGGACACATAACTAACTTTTATTGAGCATCATTACCCCATTAGGACCCCTGGTGTCTTACTTTTTCAAGGAGTTCTGGAAGCCACAAGCATTGGCTGCATCTGTCTGCATCATCACTGTGCACTTTGTGGGCTTAGCAAACAGACTGCTGATCCAGCTCTTTAGGTTTGCCCTTATGTACAGCCAGCTCAGAAACACACTGACCCACTGAGTCGGCATTGAACTCTTTTCAGTACCAGGCATCAGACATTGTGTAACTGGATAGTAGTCATGTGTTGTGTGTGTTAGTTGTTGATACGGCCGGTATAAAAGAGTTAAAAGTCATCAGTTAGGTTGGCTGAGACAGATCTCCAGTGCAAACTCTATTGTTTTGGGAGCACACTCTCTCAGACAGTCATTCGTCTATTTCTTGATGTTGCTTCCCACTTGTATCATTGTCTGACAAATTCTTAACCCTCCAGAAATCAGTTTGGTTTGTTTGGATGTATTAAAGATTTTGTGTTTTGTTTTGTTTATTTTCACAGGTAAATGCAGATGATAATATAGCAGTGGGTAAGACAAACCCGGAGGTGGTCATCAATGGAGAGGATGAAGATGATTATAAGTGAGTTCAAGATGGCTTGGATGACTGATTTAGAGTTCTCAGCCTTTGATGAGTGTGTGACTGTTGAAAGAACGGTCTCTCCCTTAAAGCTTATATGTTACTGACAAATAAGTCCTTACTTCCTCAATCCATCTCATTTATTGTGTTTCCAGGCATAGAGAAAGGGAAACAGTGACTCTAAATTCATAATTCAAGCACTCAGTATATGTCTTCTTCTTCTTTTTCTTTTTTATTCCCCAACTGTAAACTGCTGTGGAAAGTTCCGGTTGTTTATCCACTTCTGGATTTTTTTCCTGTTTCAGAACTAGAATTTATAATTACATGCGGATTTGGCTTATCAGAATTCAGATTGCTGGTACCTGGTATATCAGGCAGGTGCACTCCAACTTAAAAGAAAACCCCTAATTAGTTGCCTTTTATGGCATGCTTCTTAAAGCAGCTGTTTCCCCCTTGCCCTCCCCCCCACCTCCTCCACAATGAGGCCCCTAAAGCCTCACAAAGAACCCAGTGCATGTGAAATCATTTGAAAATATTGGTGTAATTGAGTCAATAAGTAAAGGAACTTTTTCTTGCCTTGATCGTTCTAGTCACATATTTTTTTTTAAAGAATAACTGGCATTTAATTCAGTACAAGCCCAACCACTTGACTTGCTAGATTTTTTTTTTTTAAAAGTAAAGGACCCTTTTCCATGCCTTTAGGCATATAGGGCATATAGGGCTAGACCTATATTTGTATAGACCATCGGCACAAGATGGGTGATATGATCAACATCACGCCGGCAACCTTTACTTCCCGGGACTGTACCTGGTACCCACTCAAGGCTGGGTTGACCTGAGAGCCAAGGTCATTTTTGAAAAAAGCCTGGCTCCACCATGGAGCGAACCCATTACCTTCCGATCCCCGGTGAGTGTCTAGAATATTTTGCATAACCAATTTTGAGCAGAAAATTTTAGTAAAGTAACTAAGAGTATTCAAGGTCTGTCCTCCTCCTGACTCTGAAGCCTAACAAGAACAAACCTTTTATTTTTTTTTAAATAATTGATTATATTATCAGTCTAACTGTGTTTGTGTCATCAGTTTGGGGGTTGAAGCATAGGGCTGGCACTTCCATCTTTGTAAACCTCATTTCATCATGAAACTGATTTCTAAGATATCATATTTTTATGAAATGAAATGAGTGAGAGCCTAGAATATTAAATAACTTTTCACTTGTTAACATGGAAAGTGTGAACACTTTATAGAGCTGGAGCAACTGAAGAACTAACCTGTGAACAGGTAACAGAGACAGCAATTGTAAATACAAAAGGGTTGAATGGAAGCAAACCATGAGGCAGACCAAGAAGACGGTAGAGGTATGATATACAGGCAGAACTTCAAACACTTGGTGTCACTAACTGGAAAGAGAAAACCAACCAGAGAGATGGATGGAGGTAGGTGATGTCTGCAGCACTAAACCCCAAGAACTTAGTAAGTAAAGGACCCTTCGTATGTCAGTGGTGCACTGATCATATGAAGCTAGACTCAAATTTGTATAGACCAGTCAGCAGTCGGTGGGTTATATGGTCAGCATCACATCAGACACAATTGTACTTTCCCAATACATTATGTGGTACCCCATTTTAGACTGGGGGCTGCCTACGCACCAAAGTCAGTTTTGTTTCTTATAAATATGATCATATTTTTAGTTTAACCTAATCTGTGTGTTATCAGAAACTGTGTGAGTCGGGTACCAGTTGTGTTGTTCTAGAAGTGCTTTCTATAGACATCAGTTGTGTGCGTGAGTGTTTTTCAAAACTATGAGTTATGTATCATTTTGTTGTGCCCTCCATGGAGTTCGCAAACAAGAACAAACCTTTTTTTTTCCTTCTTTAAATAATTGATTATATTATCAGTCTAATTGTGTTTGCATCATCATCAATAATCTAATCCTGTTTCAGAGATTATGACATGGATGAGGAAGTTATGAGTTTCATGCACTCTCACATTCACAAGTAAGTCAGCTTGTTCTCACAGTCATCCCTAGTTCATGAAATCTTTCACTAAAATAATTGTTGCTATACATTGTATGTTTTAATTAGTTTGGAATTTGGGATCGGAAGGGGGAGGGGGGATGGACTGCATAAACATGACAACCTATGTTGGTTGACAAGACACATAACTGTTTGTTCGTAAAGTTATTGTCTTTATTTTATGACGCTGTTGTGTAAAATACAGGATTTTTAATCTGAACAAGTGATTTAGGTATTTAAAAGTGAGGATAACATTGCACTAATGTGTGGTTAGAAGTGACTTGATTGGAAAACTAATGGGTAGTTAGAAGTTACTTTATCAGTTTACTAATGGGTAGTCAGAAGTGAGATTGTCAGTTCACTAAAAGGTAGTTAGAAATGAGAATATCCACAGACTATTGGTAATTGGAAGTGAGAATATTACCTGCTCTTAGTGCCACAATTTTTACTGCTAATGTTACTACTGTCACTACTGCTGTTTCTGTTATTTCAGTGCCTGTTGTTAATGCTACTGATTGTACTTATACTATACTTACCACTGTGGTTAGAACTGCTGCTACTACACCTGCTACTGCTCTACTACTGCTGCTGCTAAAACTGTTCTGATATTTACAGTCATAATTGCAATAGAATATTGTGGCAGGTACAGTGCTCCTTACAGATACATCCATTAAATTGAAAGGCAGAAAAGGGTCTAGAGAGTGGAGCGAAGAAAAAAAAAAGAAAAATCTGCCAGTATGACCGAACCTAAAATAGATACCAGAAACTGTTCTAATAAGTCAGGCAGCAAGTAGGCCACATCACACATTGTGTCTCAGTTGGTTTATAAGAACATGAGGTAGCGCCACTTATCCTGTCTTTCAGTGGATTCGGTTCACTTCTTCTTCCAGGTACCACATCTTCACCTTAGATGTTATCTATTTCTACACATCTATTCCACATTCTTATGGACTCCAGTCTTTGCGGTTCTTTTTAGATAGTAGAGTCAGTCCTGCTTTAGCCAGTGATCCTTTGATACGCCTGGCCGAGTTAGTGCTCAGTCTCAGCTTTTTCAAATTTAATGGCCACTGTTTCAACCAGATCGACAGCTTCGCTATGGGCACCAAGATGGGACCTAGCTATGCCTGCATCTTCATGGGCTACCTTGAGCATCAGATACGTCATGCATATACTGGTAGGCTCCCGGAACTCTACAGAAGGTATATCATTGACTGCATCAATGTCACCTATGTGCCCTTACTCAAACTGCAGGACTTCTTTCATTTTTTCTTGAATTTCCATCCCAGCATCCGATTCACTTCAGCATTTCACCATCGTCGGCACATTTTCTGGATCTCACTGTCACTGTGGATTCTAAAGGCCTCAGCACCTCGGTGTGCCATAAGCCTGCTGATTCCCATGCTTTTCTTCTCTACACGTCCTCTTATCCCTCTTCCTACAAGGACTCTATTCTTTTCTCCCAGCTTTCATGCCTCCCCAGACTATGTCAGGAGAATGATGACTTTCACCACAAGGCCCTATAAATGCTGGACTCCTTCCAGCTTCGAGGGTATCCTGAACATGTCTTATCTGCTGCCTTTCAATGAGCGTGGTCTATCAGTCATGCTGAAGCCCTCATTTTAAAGCCTTAACATCACCACAACAGACCTATCCTCATACTTACCTAACACCCTCACGTCTGTGCCAAAAATATTTTCCTCAGTCATCTCTCCATCCCTAGGGCTGACCCTGTCACCAGCACAATTTTCTATTGAACTTTCTCTAGTTGCCTACAGACATGACCAAAACCTCAAGGACATTCTAGTCAAGAGTCGGTTACATCCTGCATCTGAGTCCTACATCAGCATGGTCTCAGAATGTCATTTGCACAATCAACTGCAAGAGATGTGGCATGAAATACATCTGTTAAATGAGTCTAGGACTGGCTGACAGGTTCACACAATATCTATTGAATGTGCAGAACGGGGCCCTGAAACCAGTACCATTGTACTTCAGTTCTTAGGATCATCAAGGTATCCATAACATGGAGGTTAAAGCCATTAAATCAAACCACTCCAGTGTCCACAAGTCTCTTGAAAATCACTTTATTTTCCCCTTGGACACCCTAACACCCAGGGGACTGAACTGTCAACACAGTTTCATCTATATAAAATTATTGAGTTATTGGCATTCCCTGGCTATTTAATCTTGGGCCGAACTTAGTCTCTTCATTCCACTGGCAAGACATCAAGTTGACTGCTTCAGAATAAGTAATTTAAGTGATTTGTATGCATTCATGTGGTTTTGTTTGATTTAAATATGTGTCATAAAGGCTCTATAGCCGCAACATTCATGTTTCATTTGTTATATTGTGATTTACTTTTCGTTTGACTTTTTATCTTTCCTTGTTGGTTTATAAGAACATGAGTTAGCATCATTTACCCACTTATTGGTTGCATCTCACGTTGTGTGTCAGTTGGTTTATAAGATCATGGGTTAGCATCATTTACTTATCATGCCTCAGGATGTGCGGAAAAGGAACAGTAAGATTTTTGTGTGACTCTAATAGCTCGTTAAATTTTCTGACCTCATATTATCTCTGATGTTTCAATGAATATGGCTGATTCTGATTAAATTGTTTACAGCTGTAGATAAAGGCTGTTTGTATTTGATTGTAATGTTTATGTACCTACCTAAATAAGTTGTCATTGTGACCAGACACCTGATAGGCTTCGTCAGCGCTGGCCCTGAAATTCAACAGAAAGGAATCTCCGATGGAGACACAAAGGCCTACTTCGAGGAAGTGATTCGTGGCTCTGCCCTTTTTGGCCTCCTTCCAGACCAGGAAGGAGATTCGGAGGATGAAGACAGTGAAGGCGGTGATGCTTATTTTAGGTATTCAGGGGCACTAACTGGTGTCAGCTGAGAGTTGGACCTTATCAGTAGTATCTGTAGTTAACACTGCCGGAGCCTAGCATTAGTAGTTACTAGTGATTGTGCCTGTTAGCTGT